TAGTTTTCTTCCATGAAGTACCTGTTTTTTTAAACCCTCTTCACAGATGACTATAGTTTGCACAGGAGATTGACATATCATCTCTGTTTTAGTTTTTTTTTAGAAGGTGGGGGGTAATCTTCAAACTGAATGGTGGTAAAGCATCAGTTATTTGCAGCTTTCTTTCTGAACTGCTGAAGTCTGGTTATGAGTCCAAGACTTGTAGGTTGCATGCTTTACTGGCTGTCATTTGGTAATCAGGTACCATTTTCCTGACTTTGCTGAGGGGCATAGTCATCCCTCCCTGGAAGAAGAAAGGGGACTGCTGGAACTGCAGCAATTATCAAGGCTCAGCATGTTAGACAAGGGAGTCACTCTCTTTCTTTTGAGATGTATCATTTACTGAGGCAAGAGACTGGAGTTTTGTAGATTCACTCATATATCCAAAATGGTTTAAAATCCTGTTCATTGAGTCATTGTAGAGTGCTTTTCTGAATCTGATTTTTTTTTTTGCTGCTTGCAGCCTACATCAACCTCCTTCTGGCAGTTCACTCAGTACATTGTGTATCACTGAAGGATCCTGAGATTTGATAAAATATTGACAAAGACTAGAATCAGAAGCCATTGCTACTCTAGGTGTTGTAAAGTGTGGTAGCTTTGAGAACCTGCTTAGTTGGCACATACCTGCAGCATAGACATCAAAGTCACAGAGTTTTATATATCTGGGTTTTGTAGTTCATAACACGGTTGTCAGAGATGGAAATCAAGAGATGGAGTGGCTTGGCTGTATTAGCAATGGATTCACAGGACAAAAGTAGCTGGAAATGCTGGTTCTTAAAGAACCAAAATATATTTCCAATATTGCTGTTTCTGCTGCATGGCAGCAAAACCTGGACTCTGTCCAATATCTTGGAGTGTTAGCACCTTTTGTATAGGTCCTCATAGTCTATCATTAGATACAATTGGCAAGACAACCTGTTCAGCCATTCACTGCACCAGGACTGGCATAGGTCTAGTCACCTTTACATTCTTGGGCCACCAACTCAGGATACACAGACATTTGACTGAAAATCTTGCCTTGGCATTAGCCTCTTTGAATGATTGATTGATTGTATTGAATGTGAATATCTAATTTTTTTAAATCATAGGTTTGAGTTACAGTCTGTTTTGTCTGAAGTAAGAGATGAAGCTCTATTTTCCCTTCAAGATAAATAGTCATTCATACACAGAGAAGTACAAATTTTGCACCAGTATGAAGATCACTTTTAAGATTTCTAAATTTTGAAGGCACGAATATGGAGGTCCAAAATTACTCAAAAATCTCAATTTTATTTACTTCAGGAAGTGCATGTTTCACAAACTCATACTTTCTTTACTTGATAGGATTTGTCATCATCATCAAGCAGTGAGGACATAACACTCTGTAAGGAGCCGGACTCACTACCAAGTCTCCCTCATGAGCGTCTGCTGCCAGGGCTAAGGGGCCACAAAGTAGACATGTCAGAAGGTGTCAGTAACTCTGTGGATGACAACTTTCTTGTCCATCACACCGACACCAACACGACCTCAACTGAATCATCAGATCTCCAGAATCCGAGTCTTACTCAGTTTTCCTTGGACGAAGATGGGAGGATTCATCCCTATGTTAGTTTTGATCAGTATTACCAAGCTATTGAAGAGGCGCGGATAGCGGGGCTCATATCGGAATCTCAGTTGTATCAATATAAATAGAGTTCAAAATAAAACAGATAGCATATCTTAAGATGACAAGAAATATATAGACTATTAGTTTCTGTATAGATATTTTATTGGTAAATGAAGATTTCTTTTTTGTCTTAAGTGGAAAGTTTCATCAGCTTTCTAGTTAAGAATATATAAGAATTAAGAGCTGGTTTTAACATGAACTGCTCTTGGTCAGCTTTAGAAGTAAATGATGATCATTTGACTAGCCCATGTTGCTCTGTCTAAAAATGAAAAAAAATATTGTCCATGGAAGTAATTAGTAGCTATTAGTCTATTTTGTTTGACTTGAGATTATTTTTTTTATACGAATTGAATATATATCAATATTATAATTAAATTTTATCTCTTTATGTGCATACTTTGTTAGTTTGTTGTTACAAAGTTAAATGGAGTTGAAATTGACTTAAAGAATTTTATTCATCCTTATCTAGTTGATCTATAACAGCAGTCTGCGATCCTGTTCTCACTTCCCTCCATACATTTTTGCCATTACATAATTCAGTCAGAGGTTCTCAGAGGTTTGTGATAGGCTTAGAGGTTGGACATTTACTCTCTCTCTCTCTCTCTCTCTCTCTCTCTCTCTCTCTCTCTCTCTCTCTCTCTCTCTCTCTCTCTCTCTCTCTTCTCTCTCTCTCTCTCCTCTTCTCTCTCTCTCTCTCTCTCTCTCTCTCTCTCTCTCTCTCTCTCTCTCTCTCTCTCTCTCTCTCTCTCTCTCTCTCTCTCTCTCTCTCTCTCTCTCTCTTCTCTCTCTCTCTCTCTCTTTCTCTCTCTCTCTCTCTCTGCTCTCTCTCTCTCTCTCTCTCTCTCTCTCCTCTCTCTCTCTCTCTCCTCTCTCTCTCTCTCTCTCTCTCTCTCTCTCTCTCTCTCTCTCTCTCTCTCTCTCTCTCTCTCTCTCTCTCTCTCTCTCTCTCTCTCTCTCTCTCTCTCTCTCTCTCTCTCTTCTCTCTCTCTCTCTCTCTCTCTCTTTCTTCTCTCTCTCTTCTTCTCTCTTCTCTCTTTTCTCTCTCTCTCTCTCTTCTCTCTCTCTCTCTCTCTCTCTCTCTCTCTCTCTCTCTCTCTCTTCTCTCTCTCTCTCTCTCTTCTCTCTCTCCTCTTCTCTCTCTCTCTCTCCTCTCTTCTCTCTTCTCTTCTCTTCTTCTCTCTCTTCTTTCTTCCTTTCTCTTCTCTCTCTACTCTCTCTCTCTCTCTTCTCTTCTCTCTCTTCTCTTCTCTCTTCTCTTCTCTCTCTCTCTTACTCTTCTCTTCCTCTTTCTCTTCTCTTCTCTTCACTTCACTTCACTTCACTTCACTTCACTTTCTTCTCTCTTCTCTTCTCTTCTCTTCTCTTCTCTCTCTCTCTTCTCCTCCCTCTCCTCTCCTCTCTCTCTTCCTCTCCTCCCTCTCCTCTTTCTCTTCTCTTCTCTCTCTCTCTTCTCTTCTCTTCTCTTCTCTTCTCTTTCTCTTTCCTTCTCTTCTCTTCTCTTCCTTCTCTTCTCTCTCTTCTCTCTCTTCCCTCTCTCCCCCTCCTCCTCCCTCCCTCTCCTCCCTCCCTCTCTCCTCCCCTCCTCCCTTCCTCCTCTTCTCCCTCCCTCCTTCCCTCCCTCCCTCCCTCTCCCATCTCCTTTTTTTCCCCCTCGCCCCTTTCTCTCCCCTTCTCGCCATTTTCCCCACTCTCTCCTCTCTCCACCTTCAACTGACGTAAGAGTCTGGGGGAGTGAATGAAAAGGGGGACTTGCTTGAATAGGAGTTTATTAGGGAGGGTAATGCGTGCCGGCCCGAGAGTGTACACCGGCGCCCACTCGAGGCGCCGAGGGCGGCCGCGCTTGATACCTATATGCAGGATGTTAACGACCCAGCGAGGGGAGGCGAGGAGATCAACATGTCAAACATCATTTGTGTATAGCTGAAGGTTCGTGTAGAACTATCTTCTGCTGCCTGACGAGAGCGCGTTCCTTCACATATCCAGTGCCTCGTTAACCACTATTCTTTGGGTGTCCTTCTTTCCGGCGCGTGTCACAAGGGCCCGGAATAGAAAGTCTTGGGCTGGCAAAGAGTAAGGTGCGTGGCGAAGGAGCAATTAGTACTCTGAGAGTTGAATTTGTGGGATACAGTCACGCCACCCATGCCGGGGATCTCTCATAGTGAGAGAGAGTGTATCAGCTCCCTGACAGCGGGAGGAGAATAGAAATGCTCGACCGACCCTTCCCTCTTCTTTCTCCTCTTCGACTCAATCTGGGAACCACTTGCAACGCTCGATCAAGCCACCGTCTCCGCTCTGTCTTTTGCGCTTTTTCTCTCTCCCCTCTCCCCCTCTCCTTCCCTTCTCTTTCTCCTCCTTCGTCTCACCCTTCTCTCATCCTCTCTCTCCCGCTTCCCCTTCTCCTTGAACAATCGATATAACATCACTGTCAGAGAACTCGCCTCCTCCCATCACCGATTGTTCTAATTCTGATGATAAGAGGGCACTTCATATGAGACTCCCGAAACTGAGCGCCCATTCATCTCTCTGTCGATCTCCAATCAGCAGGGGACATATGCATACGAAGTCCATTCTACATTTCTCTCTCCGTCTTCTCACAAGTCGGGTGAGGCTCCGGCTAGTGCAGACAATCAAGTCCATATCGCTACGGTTGCTCTCTCCGCTTCTCTCTCTCTCTTCTCTCCTCTCTCCTCTCTCTCTCTCTCTCCGCTCTCTCTCTCTCCCTCTCCTCTCTCTCCCTCTCTCGCCCTCTCTCATTCTCCCTTCTATATGTGCGCGACCACTGCTATATTCTCTCTCTCTCTCTCTTCTCTCTTCTTCTCTCTCTCTCTCTCTCCTCTCTCATTCCCTCTCTCTCTATCCTTCTCTCATATCTCTCTCTCTCTCTCTCTTTCTCTCTCTTCTCCTCTTCTCTCTGCTCCTCGGTCTCCCGGGCTCAATATTCCTGCTCTCTCTCTCTCATCTCTCTTCTCTCTCTCTCCTCTCTCTGCCTCTCCTCGAGTCCTCCGACCTCGCTTCCCCCCTCTCTCGTCCCCTCTCTCTGTCCCTCGTCTCTCTCTCTAATCTCCTCTCTCTCTTTCGTCTCTCATCTCTCTGATCGCTCTCTCACGCCTCTCTCTCCTCTCTCTCTCTCTCTGACTCGCTTTTCTCTCGGGCTCTCTCCTCCCTCTCCTCGCTTATTTTTTCTTCTCTCAGATCCTCTCTATCCCCTCTCCCCTGTCTTTTCCTCTCTCTCGCCACTCTCCGCCTTTCTCTTTCCAACCCCTCTCCCTCTCTCCTCACCCTTTCCCTCTCAATTTGTCTTTCTCCTCCCCACTCT